TTAAAAAAAAAACAGAAAAAATTAAAATAATATATTTTCTCTTTTGTCAACCAATATGTCTTTAAGTACTATTAGAGCATCATCAATGCAATGGGTGCTTATGGGGTGCTTAACATATATTTAATTATTAAACTTGTTTTAAGCACCTTTGTTAAGAGTTTTTTATTTTCTTCTCTTCAATGGGAGAATCTTATGTTAAGCTAACTTTCCTAGAAACAATCTTAACTAGGTCGCTGAAACAAATCATGAGCTTTCAGGCAATACTATGAAACAATCTTAACTACACAAGCACATAAACACCATGAAACAATACTAATGCACCATCAAGAATTCGTAAAACAAGACACAGTCCAACAAATCCTTAAAATACACTCTAAGTGACACAAACAGAGCCTAGTCACAACATAACACTCTAACAAGAATCAAAAGGTCCATAACTGAAGTACCATGACATTCTTTACCGGGGTTTGCATTCTCTTGAACACAAGCATGAAAGTTGCTTTCAACATCACTGGAAATTAAATCAGCTTCCACCCAGAAATCCATCTCATTCTCATTAACCCCATTCCTCAATTTCTCATCTTTAGCGACCACAGATTCTGTAGTCATCAAAGCGTTTCTCGGGACTTTCAAAACCAATTCTCCTTTCCTGAGCTCACGAACAGCACCCGAACCCCTCCTAGTTCCATCAAAATCAGTATTGAGCAATGAGAAAGACATAATTTTTTGAAAAGAAAATCGAATTCGTTTCTCTACACTCACCCGCCGGCGAGAGGGAAGTCAGCGATGGAAAGGGAATGGCCGAGGCACGAATCGTGAGATCGAGAAGAATCAATTGAATCTGAAACGCCAAACTCTGCTGCCCATCGTAGGAACGTGTCCATGGTTTGGTGTTCTAAGCAATCAGGAGTGCGGAGTGTTTATCTCCAAATCGAAGACGAAGACAAAGAAGATTACTCTTTACTCTCTCTCTTTCACCTTTTTTTAACCCTTCGAATCGCCAAAAAATCGCCATCAGAGATCGATTCCGAAGAGAGAGAGAAGTGGAAGAGGAGAACAGATCGCCATATTTCTCGAGTTTTTTTTAACTCAGTCCAATCGTACGCCGCCACATGGCACTCAAGATGCGAAGTTTAAAACGCTAACTTAAGCGTCGCTGCTTCTTAAATCAACTAATTTTTATTTAATTAAATGCCAAATATTCTTAAGCATTTGCTCTAAGCGTCTGCGTTGATCATGCTCTTATTTGCTAAATTACTCAAGACTCCAAATCGGAGAGGACGATAACCGTATAGATTATCTGGTTTGGGCAAAGACTTTTGGTAACATTATCCTTACAAGTGTGTGTATTTACAAAATCCCTTCTAACTAACTTTTTCTTTTTCTTTATCTCTGATGTTGGGCTACGTTTCTGCTGTTGGGCTGTTCCCTTGTTTGGAATTGGTTCTTCAGCTCCAAATGATGCCCATGTAAAAGGCTTCTAACTAATTACTTCTCTAGCTATAGTTATATACACGGGCTATTTACCAAGTAATAAGTCAACTCTATATATTATCAACAATTATTTGTACGTAGTTTTTTTTTTTTTTTGATAAAAACGTAGTTGTTTGTTATGACCAAATTTTGCTATTATATTTCATCATTCGATATACACACGCATTTTCTCATATATGGTACTATAACATGACTTTTCATAATTCCTTTACTATAAAATAAAATTTGAATATTGCTTTAACAAGCTTCCATGAAATATTCGTGAAATAACAATCTTACAGATTCTCTCCGAAGCTTGTAGCTATTTACAATAACTAGCTAGGTAACAATCCGAACCATGCATGTACGTATTAATTAATTTTTA